AGAATCTCCCGACATACGACGCAAAATTAGTTACTAGTGTATAGAAGGAGCAGTTTTTGTTATAGAAGTAGCAGTAGTCACAGCACAGTATTAGCCATAGTACTTCAGTAATACTTTCCTAGCTAACTTTCAGGATGTTCAAGGCATAAATTGTATTAATTGTTTTTTATTTCTCTTCTCGGTGCAGGAATGAAGTTCGCGTCACGTTTGTTTATTGTCTCTAGATTTTGACTTGTAATGCGGAATATTGACTTATGACCCATATAACTTGCGCTAGTTGACGCACGAAATTGTACATGAAACTATGATTTCAGCTTCGGCATGAATCATTCAGGACGCTAGTTGAGTTAGCGCCCTCAGTTTTAAAAATCTGAAGTACAGACGTGGCAAGTTCATTTTTAACCAGTTGGAACCCAAGAGACAGTATTTGATCCATTATTTGTCTGTTGAATCTGTCATTCACCAGCGAACAACATCGCACATGATGTGCATTTATCAGTTTTTGTTCTTGCCAAGTTTTTGTGATGTTTGTTGTTGTAGCCTGGCTTCCGCAGAGTTTATAAGCATTGAAATCTTGGACCTTGAGCCGTGAACCAAAAATTGACAGACTTTATTCTAGACTGATTATTTACCAGTTTCCGTGTTGGATATAAGAAATCCTCCAAATAAAATTTATAATTGATTGCTCTAATAGTCGACCAAGTAACCCTAATATTCTCACGTTCTTTTTGTACATTCTGGTCACAATTAGTGTGATGAAAAGAATAAAACGTAGAGAACCGAACTTTGTCCAGTGTTGATCATGGCTCTAAACTAGCCCATGACCGGTGGACGACATGAAGAAGCTACCACGCGCATTGAGTCACTGACATGAAGACGATCACGGAACTACTACTGATTTTTATGGTCTCAACGATGACTTCTTGAGCAGCAGTCTTTTTCAGCGAGTTTCTTCGCCTCATGGGCAGAGGGACGGTTTTGCAGCGGCTTTTTATGTCAATAAAAGAGGATCGTCTGACAAGTTCACAGTGCCAGTTGCGTTTCCTACGAAGGCATTCACTTTTATATTTGAAAGGCGCCTCTGATTCCTCATGACGCCTTTTGCGGCGTCTGTATCTCGGTTTCGTATTGCGGTGGATCGATTTGTAACTTGATGCACTATGACTGGCTTCTACAGGAATAGATGAACAAGATTTTTTTCATTGAGAAATAGAGGTTCATGTGATGAGGTACCTCAGATCTGAATCCCTAAGAGTTGTGTAAATTTTTACCCGGTGATGAAGTAGTTGCACTTTCAACTGCGATTCGACATAAATAAAGATTAAGATTGGTAATTGCGAACTTCTTCCTTGCTTGAAGTCATTTGACAGTCGGTTTCAATTCATTGCTAAATTAAAATGTTTCGTTGCCCCTTTTTTACTCCGTGTTTTTTACATTTCACATGCACCTACACATTTTGATTTAATGTTTAGTCTTAAAATGTGGTTAGACTTTTTTTGTCATTTCTTAAAGCCAATGCGAATATCAAAAATTGCTTAAGCATTAGGCACACATTATGCAATGCATTCAGTTCATCGCAAGTTCCTTTTCTCTGCTTTAGTCACCACTTGTAATTTTGGTTTTGTAAACGTACTGACTTATATGTGTTCCTGTGCATTCTCTTGGTTCCTACCGCATGGCGTCGTCATCTGCTCTGCTCAGAGTTAAGTAGCGTTTGGATTATTTTACTTCTCTTGATATTGCTTTCATATGAGGAAACGAGGCCAACAGTGAAGATATTTCTTCTCACCACAGAAGGAGGTGGATGTATTAAATATTTCAAACATTTTTCTGACAATTTTTGTTCTATTTATTAAGCAATTTAGCCTGCTGAGATTAATTGTTCCATGCTTTACACAGACTATATTCACGACCTGATTTTGATATCATATTTATTGAATGATGCTTTAGTTAAATATAACATTTTCCTTTCATCTATGAGTTAAACCGTTTGCTAGTAACGACTTGGCTATCAGATGGTCAGCTGGCATATCTGTCATAAAACGCGCTCATCAGACAGCATGGTAATAAGTGTCGTTTTACAAACGTTGGTGCGGCCGCATCAGAACATTGCGTTGATTCATTTGCTAGCAACCAGCAACTGCTGATTGCGCTAAGTACAGTGGAGTGAGTTCCTTACACAAGGCAATAAACAGTTTATTAGAAAGTTTATCTAACTGTTATCTCTGAATGTGAACCGAAAGAACATTCCACTTCATTACTACTCCGTTAGAAAGCTAAATAGTCAACATTAGCGACGTGCAATGTTTTCTTCCCTCTTAAAGGAATTCTCTTTATTATCCGCGTATCTTCGTCCCGATAATTATATGTGTAGTCTCTTGCGCTTAGCTCCTCCACAGCTAGATTTAAGAGCGTATTCTCCTCACCATGCTCCTAGATCCTAAAGAACACATAAATAGCCGTGGTTCCCTGATGTTTCAGTACCTTAAGTGTGTGATGCATCTTGCCTCAATTAAGG